CACACACACAGCACCCCAGGATCAGAATTGAATCCAGGGACCCAGCACTGTGAAGGCGCAATGCTAACCAATGTGCCACCCTGATCACAAACATATTCTTCATAACTTCATTGGCTTATCCTTGGCTGCTTTCCGTGTGCAGTTATTCCTAACACAAATGGTGGCAAAATGGTCAACTGGTGACTAAAAAAACACCTGCTCCATTACTTATTCACACCTGAAACTTAGTCTAGACATTAAAGCATTTTTTTCTGTTTCTTAAACGGGTTCTTTAAAAACAAATCCAATATACCTAACCCAATAAAATTCATAGAACTATTATACAATAAAATGTCAATGTTAACATCTTCGCTGTCCCACAATTTTAAATTCATGTTTTATATTAATATAAAATTAATATAAAATGAAACAATAATATTTTCTATTGTTTCACAGTGTGAAATCTGTGTTCATGTTCATGAAAAGTTCATGTCACTGCAGGACAAGCATATGAAAGGATCAAAAGCTGGATTGAGTTCCAAAGAGATCTCATGTTCATGAAACTGAATGTTCTGGGACGTCCAGACCAAGCCAAATCCTTAACACCTGTTTCCATATGGATTATAGTGGGTAGCATTGGACTGGTTATAAACATCTGTTTGGATAGTCAGCTGAATGTTTAATTTTGTGATGTATATTTTTACATATATTCTGACATAATGTAAAGCATAAGAAGGGCAGAGATCACAGGAAAGATTTTTTTTTCAATTTTTCCTTTCAAGGAATCTTAAGAGCCAAACAACCCAGACAATATAGACAGCTTGAAGATGTCATACTACTATGATTTAGGGTTCTGCTTAACAGTAATACTATTTTACTCAGTTGTATTTAAAAGAAAGCATCACATGTATTAAAAGAAAATAGTAAAAGGTGGGAAAGCCATCTTAGGGCCAGAATATTAAAAAGTATTTTTGGCGTTCAAATGTGAGAAAACAGATTTTCAGTTATGATCATTTTCAGGGTTTTTTTTTTAGAAGAATTCAGAAAATGCCTACCGTATTTGATCTGTGCAATGTCACCAACAACAATTTCCGCTACAGGAATCTGGACAACTTGTCCACCTCGAACAATAGTGAATTTTTGTTCCTGCTCAATGCGGCTTTGTAAACCTCTAAACTGCTTCTCCTTGCTCCAGTCATTAAAGGCAGTAACAAGTACAACACAGACAACAGAGAGTAAAATCGCAGCGCCTTCGATCCAGCCAGCTTCTGACTCTCCTTCGTCCTCGGCTCCAGCTGAAACTTCCCCACATGCTATAGAAAGACACAACATACAGCGTCAGAGATTGTCATGGAAAACCCTTTCATAAGCATCATTCACTAAGTGAGGATGAACTGGCAAATCTACACCAACTCACTATTGTTGCTTCATTCATGAAGAGTTTATGTTGTGCCAGTCAACAAAAAGAAATGTATTTCTGTACCATTTTCAGTGAAGCCAGTCACTTTAGAGAGTGGAATGAAAGTAACTATCCATAACTTTGCACATGCTTTGAAATGGATGGAAAAATGGAGAATTATTTAACTCCATTTAACTTACAGATCTTGAAAGTTATGCCATGTAAATGAATCTGTTGTTTGCCAATTTAAACGTTTCTAATTGAAAGAGAAGGTTCCTTTTGCCACAGTCATTCCATAATGAAATTGTCTGTACTCTCCTTACTGTTCCATTGGCATCTAGAGTACAATATGCCATTTCTTCACATCATGAAAAAAGACCTTTACTTTAACAAATCACAAAGCAATAACATTTCAAAGGTTCTATCACTGGAACTTCCTTTCTGCTTCTGATGAATGATAAAGCGATAACTTCTTAATAAAATACTCTACTTCAATAATGAAATTCTCATTACAGCTTTCTGTTTCAAATTGCTGGCTACACACTTTTCCAACCAAACAAGCGATTTGGAAAGCAATGTGAAAACATGCAAGTATTTAAAACAGGTAGGGGCACTCAGATATACAGTATATTAATTTATCTCTGACACTGTGTGTTTCTTTCAAATAGAACATTCACTTTTAGTTCCATGATGCTCATTTCTTCCACCCTGTTAACAAAAGTGTTTCACAAGCATATATTTATTAAATTAATTTAATAGTCACAACTCAAATGAAGTGTAGTGATATGGTCAATTTTATTTTTTTATTTCAGAATCAGGAGAGATATTCAATTGCAGCAAACAATTGCTTGAAAAAAAGGATATAATATAAGGATATATTATAAGGATATAGTCACGAATGAGACTAAATTATATCATAGTTAAAAAAGTATAGAGATTGTAAGTGTTGCCTCTCTTGAAAATAGCTATAACAATACTGTATCTGTGCTATAATGATACATTTATTAAATTAAGCTAAGCTTCATAAAACAATAAAAATAATTCATTTTTGGGGTTTAAAAGAATTATCTTTTAAGTTAAAAAACGCTGGTCTGAATTTAAATACATTTTGCCTCTACAGGAAACAATGTATGCTATGTCTACATCTTAGGATGCCTTAGTGAAATCTCAGTCGAGTCATTTTGTTCTATATTTAGAAGTCCGTGACTCTGTACTTGACCTACATTATTAATTTTTATCTCAGTGAGTAAAAATGGTCTGATTGCATTTTAATGATTTCCTTGGCTCTACAGTCACCTTTTTAATTTTACAATCACCTTCAATGATAATGTTGTGCCAGCCATAATGAAAAAATATTAAATGCTTCATGATCTATCATGACAGTTGAGATAGGTTCTTATATTTTAATATAATTCTAGTACAATATTCATTATAACAGATAGCAATGGAACTTATTTATACACTTTGCCAAACCCTTTTCTAATAACCAAAACAATTGTTTAGCTTGTGATAAACTTTAATAAATAAATTTGTAACTAAATCATTTTCTTTTAGAAAGGAATACATTCAATCAGTTCGTAGAAGAATCTATTTTGCCAATAACTAACACAGTTCTGCCATCAGTATATCTCCCCAAGGAAGTACTGTAATGTTTTAGAGAGCACTTACACTCTGGTTCCTTTAGAAACGTTTCCTGGAAACAAATGCACAGATGTATGATGCCACAGTTACTCTCCTAACACTGCAGGGGTGGAAAACAACCCCAGTTAAATATAAATTCATTGATGAGTGAGCAATTTAAATTAATATTTGGTTATGGATGTTTCCCTGCTGCCTTGTTAGCTAAGACATCATAAACAATCACGGGGAACACATTTGGTTCTGCAGCCTGTGCTGTATTTAGGCATATGAAAGTGTGCATTCAGTTTCTGAAATATTTGACATGTTTTTAGCTTTAATTTCTGGATTTCCTTTTAAATATTTATTCATTTTACTTGCTTTAAAATGAAATATAGTTTATTTATAGTTATTTTTTTATTATATCCCTTTATTTTCTTTTTATTAATGTTTTGGGAAAAGAGACATTTAACTCAAAATGGTCATAAAACAAAGCTTTGATTGGATCCACAATGAAAGAAAAAAAAGATTTTTTTCTTAAATTCAGTGTCATGCTAACCAGAACTTTGATGTCAGATGATTCATTTAAAGTTAATTTGTGCCTGCTGTGGTTGTTTAATTTACAACCAGCCACCTTTTCGACACCCATCTCTCATCTCTGCAGAGAAATAGATGGAAGATGAGACTTGCAGCATTTTCTTTTACACATTTTATACAGCTCCATCAAATGAGCTATATTAGTAAAATAAAAACATTATTTTAAAAAAGAGAAGTATGTTAATAATACTAATGAATAAATTGTTCTATTACATATCTGTTTGCAATTTTGAATGCTGGATGAAATGTTTATGCTTGGTTGCTCTCCATGGTGCTGAACTGTCAGAAGGAATAGTTAGATAATAGTGACATTTAACATCACTTAGAAACAATCCCAGAAGAATGGGGAAAAATATTTGCATGGCATTTGTTGTTCTCTGCTGTAAATACATCATGATCTTCTGCAAGGATGTTCAATAAATGAAGTTACAGAATACATTAATTTCCTTACATCAATGTGCTCAATTCAAAATTACACATAAAAGAAGAAAGATACTGTACACATTCTTGTTGTTTTTTTCTTGTCACAAAAGAGGCACTTAATGGGCATTCCTTTGTTATATAAACAATTTAATCTGAAATAATACTTTATAAAAAACATTAACTTTACATATTAGAATAAGAAGGTCTTTAAAAAAATAAAAAGAGTAGCGCATACTTTTAGATATGTATCAGAATTACATCCACTGGTGAGTTTGAGTATAAACATAAATCATTCCAAAAACAACTTTTTGGTACTATAATTTTCTGCATTATATATCTTTATGTATCATTTTTCTGTTTTTGGAAAATATTATTATAGCCTATAGAATGTTTCTGTAGTGATGCTTTTTTTCCAATGTCCACTATGAAATAATATGTATTTTATAGTACTCGAAGTTTTAGAAACATCATACCATTTGAGAAAATGGAAGATATTTTTTCCTCTGCATAGGTCTAGAATTATCTTCAGCATATTTGTCTGTTTTTTCCTAAATTTGTATCAGGAGAGTAGTGGTATACTGGGGGGTCAGTGTGGCACGTTCACATCTGAACAGTAAAACAAAGAGGATGCATTCAATTCATCTGCATCATTTGGTGACAGGTAGCTTTATGATTTGAAGATCTCAGGGAAATACAGAATACTGGATACTGGCTTCATACTGTTGTGTACAGTAGCTTGTTCCAGATTTGTAGGACCCTCATGTCCCAAGTGCTAAACACAGCCTTAAATCTTCTTCTTGGTTTCACCTTCTGATCATTATAAATCCTGAAAAAATGTTTTAGGTTGACTTTGTCAGGAGATTTGAGTAACACTTAAAGACTGATTCAAGTCCCCTCACAGTCTCCTCTGTTCAAGACCGAAGAAATGTTGTTGTTTAACATGTACTGTATGTCATTGGGACTGATTTCAAAGCAGCCACACTCTTTTAATAATGTGGAAAAGAAAACTGTACAATAGTATTGGAAGAGGCAGTTGACAATGGTCATCATCTAGCTGGTGTCAACATTTGCACGTCTGAAAAACAAGTAGGAACTGAGATATTTATTGAATTGAATGGGATGCGAAACACATTGATCAAAGGAATCATCTGGTTTAGCTTGGTAAGTTAAGTTCTGCGTAAATTATTAAGAACCATTAACAGTCGGAGAACAGAGGGAAAAAAACACAGGTGGGCAGAGAGACTGAGAGAGGAGGCAGGAGAGGGGACAGACAGAAAGACACAAGGAGAGAGACGAGGATGTAGGTGTATATGTTGCATTTTGTGTTGGTTAGCATGTTATTCTCATTGTTAATAAACATTTGTTAAACCCCATGTGCCAGATGATAGGGTATGTTCTTGGCATAATCTTTATGATTTGGGGATTATGATTATTTATTTTTAATTATTGATTATCCAGCTTGGCGTATTTCTGTCATTTTAATTTTGTAACAGTATGATATTCTACAGTAAATGCAGTGTTACTAATGTATTGTAAAATTCAATCTTAACTTGAACAAATAGTAAAATGTTCCTTTTTATTATTAAATAGGCCATTAAACTTATAATTCACAAATTTGTCCTGATTTTATATGAAGCAATCAAGGTAGTTAACTCACTGTTGCACGCGCATATAATACAGTACATTGTTGTATGAGAGGTGCTTAACATCCAGTCATATGTAATGATATAACATATCTGTTACAGATACCACTCCTACGGAGTCAGTGAAAAGTTTTTTAAAAAATAGAAACTTCTACAAATGCAACAGGTGTTCTGAGCTTAGGTTTTACCATGTTATTTATTGCACTTACAATTATGTTTTTTTTTATTTTAAATGAAAAATAACATATTATCCTTTTAATATCTATCTTTGTAGCACCACGGGGAAACAGTAATAGAACACACAACCCTCTAGGAAAATGTTGCACAACACACAGTATCTTCCTGGCAAGTTACCAGCAGTCAGAGGAGTAATACAGTCCTCATTGACAACAGGTGCCTGGTAAGTTCCTGGGGCAACTGCTGTAAACACTAGCTGACCTGAAGCCCAGAGTACCTTCCAAACACATCTCACTGAGTGCCACTCTCTGGGGAATCTGTTACAGTTGGCCAATTTGATAGTGTAGCTTGAATCCATCAATATCTGGACTAGAGGGCTTAGTTTATGCTCCGGTAAAATGCCTCTACTGACCGAGTCCTGGTCCTGGAATGCTGATGCGACTACATCTCTTAACAATCTGAACCGGATCATTATTAACGTAGTTTAACAGCTTCTTCCTGTTCTTCAGTAAAGTGTGACACTTTGGGAGTTGCCAGGTCAAAAATAACCAGGATCTTGGTTTAACCAGAGAAAAAACTTCACCTAACAAAACCTACTGTACATTACAACCTTACATTGCAATATCGAGTGGGCTGTGAGCCCAATAAATTGTTGCATTCCAATTCAGGGTCCCTAGGATATATAAAACATCTGATCCAGTATATCGATTTTTTATTTAGCAGGCACATTAAGTGTGTCCGTGCAGCTCTTTATGTACACTGAACCCAAGAGCCCGCACTCTGCAGCGAATCAAATAAATTTCACTTGTTGTTTTTCTCCACGTGCTTTAATATTACAGAGCATCTGTAATTTTTTCATTATGTCTTTTACTCACTTAAGGGTCCCAAAAATTAAAAGATTAATAAGCATTTGCAGCATGCTATGTCATTGAATTTATAGTTGTTATAATGATGGATATAACTTACTCAGCATTTCCAGCACTCAGGCTTAATGGCTATCTCTTTATTGCATATTTTACAGCAGAAGGGTTTGATGTATGGTCTGGACCTAAAGGTTATTTATTTAATGACATCTCTGGTGCAGTTCATTAACTCAAACTTCAGAAATGCCTTTTTTCAATGGATGTTGGTGTGATGCTTTAAATAGCTTTAAATGCATTGCCATTCTTATGAAAGACTCCTAAGGAAATAACACTTTGTATTTTCTAATACATACTGAGTACCGAAGGACCATAGGGAAATGGACATTCTGTGATGCATCCTCGAGTACCATTCCGTCTCAGAATAAATATACATAAATAATGCTTCTACCATTAAATTTCTTACTAATATTGCAGTAAAGGTATATGACATGGTTGCCTTTTGGTAACAGGACTTTTTTTCTTCTAATGAATGAGTTGGATTAGCAACAATTTATACATTTTAATTAGAAGTCTTTTAAACCGTCATCACTTCTGGTTGCATGGGCATTATAATTGATTCTGCACTCTTCTCCATGATGAGTTCTTATTGCTTAGGCCCCCAGAGACAATTAATTTTTCATTTGGTACACCTTTTCACATCTGTTAGCACATCATTCTTTCATTTCAACTCCCAGTTACGTCCGTATAGCCTTCTGAAACATTTGTGTCGTTACCTTCCTAACATTTTCTTGTACTCAGATTGCTTTTATTTCTAATCTGCAGTATGAATGTTGCAAAAAGTCACTTAAATAACATAAAAAATAAATGCATTGCAGAAAAATTTAATTTAATTCTTTAAGAATTAAAGAGAAGTGAACCTTACTGATATTGCAGCGTACAGTAAGTGCCTGTTCCTATTGAAAAATAGACTGCGAGATTAGAATACAGTTCAAATTGCTAGAGTATATTAAGAGCATGCAGCTGTTAAGAATAAAAAGAGATCCACAATGATCATCTGCAAAATGGATACAAAGAGCTGGTGAAGGCTGCTGACTTTACATACTTTACATACAGTACACATATGGTGTTACGAACACCTGAAGCTCACTGAACATAATTTCAGTAGCATCTCAATCTAGGAATAAGACTGCAGAATGCAGTTCATCATTTAAAATAAAAACAAAAGAATACACCTTTACTTTAAAAATTGGAATGGTTCTTACCTTCATTCCCCTCCCCAGGAGGCTGATAAAATGAGAGTCCCAAGGAAATAATGGCTGCAATTTCTAAGATAATAAGAGTCACATCTTGTAGTGCTTCCCAGACTAACTGTAAGAACGTTTTTGGCTTCTTTGGAGGTATAAAGTTTTGCCCATAGATTACTTTTCTTTTGTCTAGGTCTGTTTCAATTCCTGGCAAGCCTGTAAAGTGAGAACAAGACATTAAATGATATAGCACAGAATACATTTTAATTTCAAGGTTTATGACACATTTAAATAGCTTTAAACAGTATTTTAAGACATTGTAATTTAGGACTAGTATAAATTACCCAGGCCCATGAGCAAACGTTGACTTATGTTCTGCAGTAGAAACTGAAAGAAAGGATCTGTTTGCAATCTGGTTTAAATTCTTAAAACTTTATCTGATATCAGATAAACAAAGAGAAAAAACAACGTAAGATCTAGAAATAGGAGATTTCAAAACCAAAACTAAAACCTTTACTGCTCTGTGTATAAAGTATATACATAGATATTGTACGTTTACAATATTAATTACTAGAAAAACTAATGGACAAATTATGAATGTTTTATTTAATCTGGGCTGGTTAAAAGCCTTTTTTAAGTAAATAAAACATTTTAAGAAATTAGGACACTATTACAGCTTCACCAATAAATTGCACTTACAACCGACTATAGCTATTACAGGAAAAAGATGCACAGTATAACAGAGAACACCTCATAAAACAAATCAATTATGTACTAGACTACTCTCTAGAATATGAAACAAAATAATACAGGAGTGTTTGTGTTACATATAAACATAAATTCATAAATTCATGAAAGCCTTACATACAGTATAAAATCAGCATTCTTCATACAGCATTACAAAACATGTTACTTTTTCACTCCAATGCATTATTCCTTGTGATAAAATATGCACTGAGAAGTATTTGAGGGATGTGTGATTGTGTCAATTATTCCAAAAACATTTCAGAAACAAAGGTCTTAATATTCTGTAACGTTCTGTGTTTGTTTAACTTTGATATAAAAGAGGTACTGTAGTTGGCTTACAACCGGTAATTGGATTCTACGTGTGTGCAATGAAGACAGGGACCTACTGTAGCTGCAGAGATATAGGAAGGGCAACCTATAGAGCCCCCCACAAAAGCATAAAGTGTGTAATGGGAACTCTACGTCCCCCCACACGTTCCAATATAGACAAATGAACTGAGAGAGGCCCTGCATACCATCCTGCACCAGGCCCAGTATAATGTTCTCACCTTATAGAGAAGACAGAACCAAAAATAATTCTTGTATACTGAATTCTTACTTGTTATTTGGGCACCTCAAAATATATAATCCCATGGTATTTTTGGAAGATTGCTTAAGCTGTGATTACATTATCATTATCGAAAAGCTCTCCAGTGTACCATCATAGATACTTATTCTCATAGCGCCAAGGAAGAGTGAATAATACATTTTCTAAGGCAGATCTTGTGAAATTCTAAGTTAAAATCTATCAACAGTCAAAGTTACACATTAAGAAAGGACTACCAAAAGCACCTGTTGTAAGAATGGAATGGAAACCACAGCACATACGGCATTTACTGTAACTTTAAGAAATAGTGTTGGGTTTTTTTTATTTCAGTGAGATGAATATCTCATCAGTTACTTACAGTAACCATGTAAGTACAAGCATATAAACCTATCTTTCAGTGAGAGGAATCATTTCATTATGAATGCCCGCATATAAAAATGTAACAGGTTGCTTACAAGATTCAGGCTTCCTGCCCTCCATAGTATTCAATTATACTTCAGACTCATTAGCAATTCTCTTATTTTCATGCACTGTATGTAAGGAAGTTTGAAATAAAAGACTCTGAAACTCTGCCCTACACTCCTCTGCACAAACTATATGCCATGCAAATTACTCTGACACTATAACAGGTCACATAAGCTTCAGGCATACTTAGCAGTATGCCACGGATGAACGGTAGCTCAGCTACTTCATTTTTCTATTGATGTGTCATCATTTAACAGTAAATCTCTTTAAACAATAATAATAAACTATGCTGGATTTAACTTTTCAAGTAAATTTACGTGTAAAAACTCTGGATCTCATGTCAGAATGGAAGAAAAAGAAAAAATCAGATACAGATTTAATTTTAATATAAGTTTTAGAAATAAGGAAGTCAATTTCCCTTTGCTCAATAAACACAATAAACCCTGAATGTTTCATGAACTACAATTACTTTCTAATAAACACTCACAATAAAATATATCTGAGATTGCCTTTTGTCTGTGCACATACTGTAAAACTGGTTTCTCACTGTCATTAATGTTTAAGGTAATTCCACAAAATATTTAATATGTCACCTATTCCTAGTTATGATTATCTGAAATTGTAAATATAATCCCAATCTAGTCTCCAGAGGGATCTTTTAAGAAAATGCAGCATTTTTCGGACATCTTGCCAAAGCCTTCGGTAAACAAGGAAACATATAGCAAACATAAATCCAAAGGTTCCTTTGGAAGAAGAGTTTAATGGTGCGTTTCATTGGACAAAATGAACATTGTCACCAACCGGCCCACAGTAAGTGTCCAGCAAAAGCAATTCTCATTTGAGTGTCCTTAAAAATAGAGGGAGTACTGTAAATTGGGTTTTCAGATTGTGAAGGCATTCTATAATTGTTAAGAGATTAAACACAAAATGAGAATTAGTAGCTAGACGTACAACACAGGCCTCACCATGACTGGTACTTCCATCGTCGTTTTCATCGGCAGTTCTGAAAGTTCCCAATCCACACTACCTCTCTGTTGCTTTTATGTATGTCTATGTTTTTTTACCAATTAATTTGGATATTAAATGCCTGCCTCCAGTAAGACATACATGGACACCAGGTTGGCCCTCATCTGCATTCAGGTTTAAGAACATGTTTTAGAGTTTTCTTTGTGAAGTGGGGCAAGTACAGTATATAGGTGTTGTGTAACCACCAAGTTTGCAGCCAACAGATGGCACTTGCCTCACACACCAGCCCTTCCTATACAGGATGGGGATACAGCACTACTTTAATACTTAGGTAGTCCTTTTACAAATTCTATAAGGCCTTAGAGCTATAATGTCCTTACTGTTACTGTAAGTCACAATAAAATCCATGTCAGTTGAATTACTACACTTCAATAGGAAACATACAGTGCTTAGCTTTCTTTCAATTAATATTGTGATGGGATGTTTCTTGTACTGTAGCTAGTATTTCTATTTAAAGGAAAATCCCACTAAAATAAGGAGACAAAAACACATAACATAAACTTTTGAACGGCAGGGAATGTCAGTATTAATAATGACTTGCTTTTCAATTGTAAAGAATCAAAAGGACTGGTCTTACATTGAATGATGCATGTAATACTGTACCATATACTGCTCCCTCATCAACTAGGTTTTATTTTTGTAAGTCCCACATTTTGAAAGCAATGAGATTGCTAGCTTAAGCAAGATAAATGATCTCAGGTCATTATTGAGAAGACCATTTGAGCATGATAAAATATATGGCATTTTCATAAAACAAAAAACAATGGATTTATGTCTTAAGCTTCCCAGTTCATTTAAAATAAAAATAATTTCTGAAACTTTCTGAAATTTCTGACATTTTTATTTATATACTCATATTTGTTTTTAAAAAGTACACTAAACCTACTGTATATCTATTTCCTCAGAGAACATTACAAAATACTAGATGGTAAAAGCCATTTTTGCTTTGTATGGATCCTTTAACAACATATATCACTAAAGCCATTCAACAGCCTCGGCTATTTTGAAATTCAGTATTTTGAGAAAGCAGCCTGGTAACTGGCAGTTTTCACAGTCCATTAGCACTGATGCCAAAAAGATGAATGAAACCCAGACAAAAAACCAATAGCAAAAATGTGCACTCCTTAGAGAATATGCATTTCATTTTGTGAATGTACAGCTGGCATATTAAGCAAGATTTATAATGTTCTTTGGGGTTCGACTGAGGTTATACATCTCTGGATATAAATGATAACTAAATTGCAAAATCTTTCCTCATGTCAACAATATTGGTTTCCTGGCCTTCCACCAATCCATTGCACTGAAAAAGTTCTTGTTGCCTTATTATGTGAACAGAAACCCTGTAATTGAATTCTAAGTTTGCTGGATAAATGTTTCCATTTCAGTGGGGAAAATGTATCTACTGACAGACAAAAACCACATCTCAAGAGTGCTTTTTTTAGTTTTTCTTTCTCTTCTTCCAGAATATCACTCAGACATGGCTTAGACTTAGCCTTTCAGGGCTGAGAAAAAATGAAAGGTGTATAGGTTTCAAGATATTTTTTTACTTTCTCCAAAGAAAAGGACAACACCACTTGGTTTTCAAATTTGTCACTCAAGATTTAAAAAAAAGTAACCTGGGGTACTGTACATCTGTATAAAATGAAGTTGAAAGAAACAGCATTAACAAACCAGGCCTGAGACTGGACTGAAAAGAAGTCTCAACATTAATCAAATGGAAAGGAACAGCCTACTTAAATCCCTTCAGGAGACAGAAAAGTTGTATGCAGTGATGGAGTTTGTCACACAGAACGTAGTTAACATTGACTAAAAAGAGAAAGGCCTCCCGTTCTGTTTTTACGTACTTAAAGAGGATACTGGCAGGTCTATGTTAGAAAGGACTCCCAAGGTCTAAATACTCAAAATAACCCCTCAGGCAGCTGGCAATGAACTTTAAGACAGATGTTGCCAGGACTGGAATCCCATTGTCTGGACATTTGTTTTTACACTCTTCCTGCCTGAAAATACCCAAACTCTTGGAGCTGCAAGATAAATCCCTGAATAATCAGCTAGAATCCTTGTGGAAAAAAGGTCTCCACAGTATGCTGGGATAATCCCTTCAGTATACAATACAGCACATTGGAAAGAGCCCCAGTGCCTCAGTAACAAAATCCTGTATTCTATACCTCTTCATGGGAACACAAATTGTTTCATTTTAAAAATATATACAAGTATACAGGCAAATTCAGTCATATTAGTGAGATGGGTCATCCAATCCTAACAAGGACTAATCTTTGGCACCTGTCTACTAAACGCAAATAAATAATATATATATTTCAATAATATAATAATTTGATTCTTAGAAAATGAACGCTTATCTTACTTTGACATGTGTCTGTTTTTTTTTTCTAAT